ATTAACATAGTCTGTAGTTATACTGGTAAAGTATCTTTTCCCCAGTTTAAGTCACAATTTTAATTTCATTTAACAAAGATAATGAGAGGAAAATTTAGAGTTTATATGTATATTTTTGATCTGTAGTTCAGGTCATTGCTTAACTGGTAAAAACTACTGTTGTTAAAAATAAGCTTGCAAATTTAACCAAATCTCAAAAAGACAAATCTCTAACATGACAGCAAACATCACACTAATACCAGTCTTGTTATTTAATTCTGCTTCACTGAGAAAATGATGCTCAGATTTCAAATGTCACCTCTTAGTTTAGTTCTCTTCCTATTCTCCTGCATTCATACATTTGAGACTTGCTTGCTCTGCTTCATGACTCACGTAAGTACAGTCCCTTCCATTTCTTTCCTTCAGAGGTGGAGCCAGGAGTTTTAGATAAAAATGTCAGCTTTGCTAACCTGTGTGTTGGGTCAAATGCTTCTGAAGCCCTTTTTGCTGAGAAAGCATTCTCTTTTCTCAGTCCCTTGGTAAACTTACAGTACAGTAAGTTTCACAGGAATACAGGTCTCTATTTTTCAAAGCTTTCTCATTTTTTGATTGTTTTGGTCTTCCAACAACCATTTATGGGACACCATACTTTTCAAAGTCATTTTCCATTCATTCTGTTTCAGACTAACTACTTGACTTCATTCAAGTTATTTAAATCCTGAAATATGAACCAACTTACAGTATTTCTTTTGTTTTTTTCATAGGTATACATTCTCTCTTTGTTTAAACTTTCTCTTAGAAGTAGCTCTTGGCTTCATTTAAATGCCTGAGTTCATGTCTTATTTGTATCATTACAGATTGTTTGATTTGATAAGCTTTTAAATTGTTGCATAACAATTTAAGAAATTTAGTTCTTTCTCATTGACTTATTTGGCTTAGAAAGAAAAGGGTAACAACATAGTATATAAAAAGAGAGAAGAGTGATAATGCTACCACATATTGAGTGTCTCATCTTCACACTTCATTCCATTTAATTCTAACTTTGGGCAGGTTACTGTCCATATTTTATAAATCATGCCCCTGAAACCTAGAGAAGTTAAAAATTACCAAGTATATATTTCTCAAACATATTCAAGAATATTAGGCTCTCCCAAAAAGCTAATAAAAAAGGGGTCATTGGTCTTAGAAATTTTGTTTCAAGCTTTTCCCTATAAATATACTATACAGTACGGTATTTGAGGGTAGAGGCCACAAAGTCATGTTTTTGATGTCCTCATATTGTTCAGTTAACAATTTTTCTTTGATAAACAATTATAAAATTGAGTTATTGTATTTAGTCATAATATTTTCCTTTCTACTTTCAACAGCATTTTTTTTTTGTTGTTATTTCTTTTGCTATTTAAATAGAGCAAATCTCTACTGGATGGCATTGCAGATTTTTTTCCCTGGGGATGAGCAATTGAAGTCGGGATGATACTCTCTCAGATGTATCTTTTCCAGGAATGATCAGAAGAAGTGATAACTGTCCACTTCTGCATTTTATTTTCAATAGGGAAAGTTATTCATATTGCTGAATTTCTAAAACCTGTTTCTATGAACCCTCATGAGAGAAGCATAATTTCCTTTTGCTACGTTAGCGTAGTGGGTAAAGGGCAGAGCTGGAAAGAAACATGTCATTGAAGTGTGTAATTATATTACTGGGTTAGAAATCAAAGTGGTAGTTGATCTGAAGTAAATGATAGGGCTTCTCAGTTCTATTCTTAATTTAGCAGAAGGAATACTTGCCTTCTAGTAGGTGCTGAGGCTTTGCAGGACTTGAGTTAAACCATCACAAACTGAACATCATAGTTTTATTATTACCAGTGAGGATTTAGAGCTCAGGTTATAGATAGCTATGTACTACAGATGAGCTAACAAAACATATCAACTGTCACACTCCAGAGTATTTGCAGAATCCTCAAGGGCAGGTTGACATAAGGACTCCACACACTGTCCTGAGACATGTGACTTGTTTTCACCTGGAGTTGCCTAGATTGGGTCAACACCTGCATTGTCCTTTGCCTGTAGCGGCTTTCATCCTGCGGCAGATGGAAAAGTCTGGCCTTCTCCTTTGGAGGCATCATGGCAATATCAACCTGGAAAATTGAAATTTTTGCTCCAAGACAGCAATGATTTAGTTAACAATACTAACTTTGTGGGGAGTGAGGGAGAATGAACCCCCTCTTGAACATGTATCTGTGTCTCAATTCTGCCTTTCATTTCGGTTAAGAATGGACTGTCATTTATATTCTCCTCTTTCTTAGTAAGACAAAAGAGCGTATTATAGCTTTTGGCAGGAAGAAAAGAGTAAATAATTACTTTCTCTAGTTTAAATTTCTGCAATGAGACAAATAAATTATGAATGATCTGTTAGAGATTTGGGGCTCAGAAAGTGTATTACAATAAACAGCACTCTCCACACCCAATCTAAACTCAGTACTTGCGGTTAATACAACCCAAGAAGAATTAACTTAGAGGAGGGGTCATAAGTAATGGAAAATAATTGGGTGGAGACAAGAACAGTCCTGAGGGTGAGAAATGGAGATTTTTACTGCTGCCAGGGATCTTTCTTCCCATGTTTCCTCTGGGCTTCTCTCTACTTCTTGGTTTCATATTTTCCTATTACAAGTCAGACCTTCATAAATCAGAGAACAGAGAGAAAGGAGTCAGGAATGCAGGACTAACTGCAGTTCAGCGGGTGAAAAAGCTAATGATAGCACTTGCTGGGTGGTGTAAGGACCATCCATAGTGGGATTCTGTCAGCTGAGGTTGAGCCACATTCTCCTGCCTGGACCTCCCGGCATGCCAGGTCACTGTAAGTTAGGTTCTGTGATAGGTATGGATAGTCACAGCCCTTTCCTTATTAGTGACTCTTTCCATGGTGCCAGTTAGTGGGGACCCGTGCCCTGAGCCCCAAATCTCCTGCCAAGTGTTACACCACACAGTGGGGAGAAAGAGAGCAAGAGATGAAGTAGGAGTGCAGGCAGGGTCTGGGATGATCAGTTGTTCGCTAGGAACAAAAGGCTAAGAGGCACCCAGAACCTTGGAGTTACTCATTCCTTCTGAGTCAAGGACAATGGGTGAAGGGCAGTGGGTGTTTCTGGGAACAGTAATGGCGACTACATTGGGCTAGGAGGATCAAAGTCTTCTTACAACGACAAGGACGAGACTGGGGAATAAGGAAATAAGGTCCCCCAGGTGTCTCCAGCAGGTCTTATTTTGCCCTGTGAATGCCAGGGCGGTCATTAGCCCTCAGGCTTCCAGCTGTGACCAAAAAGAGCAGTTTCCCCATTCCAGTGTTGCTCAAGGCCAGGACAAGAACAGCCTGGGACATCCCCTAGACTCAACCTATAATTCATGGTCCCCAACATTTTCTGGGCCCAGTGAGGAGAAAATGCTGTCAATGGTGATCTGCATGGTTGGAGTTTGCAAGGACTAATTTGCTCAAAGAAATGAGACTTTTTCTAGAACAAGGGAGAACATGATGGCAGACAGGGAAAAACAAAAGAAAATAGTTATCTAATACAAAACTGCTATATTAATTGTCTATGCTACATGGAGAATGGTCAATAGCTTAAAAACTCAATAGCTTAAAATAATACTCCTTCATTATTTCAGTTTCTGTAAGGCAGAAGTCTGTGTAAGGTACAGCGGGTTTTCCGCTCAGGGTCTCACAGATCTGAAATCAAGGTGTCAGCCACAGCTGCCTGCTAATCTAGAGCTCCAAGTCCTCTTCTCCACTCACTAGCTGCCAACAGAATTCATTTCTTTGGTGCTTTTCTTGTCTCCAGCCTATTTCCTGGGAGTAGGAGGGAGGTCCCCGCTTTCTTGCTAGATGCCAGTGAGAGGCAATTTTTCCCTACAAGAGGCCACCTGCTGAGCCCTGCCATGGGTTCATTCCAAGGCATGGTAGTCCGTTCCTTCAAAGCCAGCCAAATAATTTCTGTCTTTGAATTTCTTTTTTTCGGAAATGCCTGCTTTCTCTTGTAAGGGTTTACCTGGCTAGGTCAGGCCTAGCCGGAATAATCACTTTGTTGATTAAGTCAAGTTACTGTGGGAACTTATGCTACAAAATCTTTTCACCTTTGCAATTTACTGTAGTGTAATCACAGAAATGACATCAATCATGATCACAAATGCCACCCAAACTTAAGAGGAGATGGTTACACTGGATAGGTATCCTATGTGTAACTGAATATATATTGAACAAATTATAGCATACATATATAAATTCGTACAGAACATCTACGTTAACAATTCAAATTAGTATTGTGCCATATAAAGTTGCTTATTTCTTCACCTAGAAATAATTAATAAGGAATAACTTTTGAGCTTCCTTCACATCAAGCTTTGTTCTTTAATTTTCCCTCACTTGTGCCTTGAAATTTCTAAAAATTGGTTTCTAGCTGTCACTATTGTCTAGTTTCATGTTTCTGAGGTGTCCTAAAGAAAACAGTTTTAAAAGTGCGTTAGAAACAATTGCAGCATAGGTACCAGGGTCTCAAATACATCCCTACCTTTTAGGCTCTCTCATCAGAGTGGGCGATTGCTTTTAGGAAAGTGTAAATAGAAGTGGTTTAGGCTGGGCTGGGGAATTACGGTTTTGGGGTATCAAACTGCTTTAAACTGTATTGTTTAGAATATAGGTAGTAACTTGATGATAACTTTCTCCTGAGATGCTGTAGTTTTCTTACTAATTGTCTGAAATAGATGAATAAGTATTTACTTTTTCCCTGGAACTGGTATCAATTGACCTACAACTTGGAGACATCATGTGTGCAGAGAGAAAATGCAGATTGTGGCCTAAATCTGTCCCATAGGAAATCCAGGGCTGCTTCTGGATTCATAAAATCTTTATGCAGGCAGAGAAATGCTTCATTTCCTTTTTTACCATGTTCTTTTCTTTCCCATCCATGAATATATATGCTAAAGTGATTACCTGAGTAGTCTTGTAATCTTTATCTTAGGCGATTTTTAATAAAAATGTATTTTAAGAAATCTTTCAAATCAAAATCCCATCACTAAGAGCTGCTTATTCATCTAAAAATAGCTCTTTGAGAGTAACTATGATGATGATGTTAATGATAATGAAGACTTTCATTTGTTTTGAAATTTTCAAATGCTGCTGAGGTTGTCAACAACTGTACGGATTTCATTTTTAAGCCATATTTCTGATTCAAATGTATTTTTTTTACTGTACCATAGGCAGTATTTTCATTGAGAGAGAGAAATCCTACAGGGTGGAGCAACGGGGAACACTGACAGCTTATTTAAAGAGGCACCAGGAAATGTGCCTCTTTCACCAAAGAGGAAACGTGTTCTGAGCCATTCATCCAGCACGGACTCCAGGTAAATTGGGAGATTAACACCTCTGCAGACAACAGGCTTCATCCATGCATAGCATTTGTGTTTGCACAGAGTATATGGGTGGGTATGAGTGAGGGAATAAGTAGGTCAGTTCTCCGTCCCATTTCTCTCCTTCCTGACTTGGTGGTAAAAACATACATCTATCAACATCTTCATCTGATTTTAGGTCAGTGTCAGAATCACAATAGAAAGAACTTCTTTTGTCTGAAAGCACAGTTTTAGAACAGAATGTACGTGAAGGTTAGGTCGCTGAGCTATGGCTATGAGGTAGTTGTAAAACTTCCCATGAATTCTCATTATTGGGAGATGGCTACTTGTTCAGCCAGAAGAATTTAGATTCTCTTCCCTCATCTTCATCTCCCCTGACACATCTTTAGCAAGCATGTGCAACTCTCCTGGTTCCTAGCCTTCCCTTCCAGTGTTTTTTCATGTAAATATTTTTGTTCCCTTTTCACTGTGAAAACCTTTCTTGTTATTCAAAACTCAGTTCAAGTACCATTTCCTCAAGCCTATAATTACTTAAGTTCATATTCTAAGTAATTTTGTCTATAATCATTAAATGCCTATTACTCTGAGATGTTTTATGGATACACATATTATCTCTAGAGTGGGAATAGGAGAACTATGAAGTTAGAAACCCTCTCATGTTACTTTTATTTTTTTAACCTCCCATTTGCTCAACAAAATCTTTTCTAATCCAAAGAAGTAGATCTTCACATCTCATAGCTGCTTAAATTTAGACAGCTTTTTCTTTTTCATTCCACACAATGGCCTTCCTCTCCTTTCAAGTGCATTACTCGAAGGTATTTTCCATTTGTGAAATGAGAGAAATCATGCTGAGTGAAGATTATGTGAGATTATTGTGAATGAAGGGAGAATCACAGGGCAGAGAGCTGGTGCAGGACTTTAGATAGACCTGAAAATTGATGAGGATTCAGAAGATGACAGGAAATTCTACCATTTATTTATAAAAAACAGCTTAATTACCTACTATTGCTGAAGAAATTCAATCAAATCTGAATGAATCTTGTAGAATTCAGTTGAATTTTTTTCTCATAAGTCAATTATTGTTATAAGCTGAAGTGTGAATGAAAAATTATCATGTTCAGGTGCATTGATACAACTCCATTATTTAAAGGAAATTCGAACTTTGCCTTAAGGACATTTGCTTTATAAGCATGAGGTACTTCTGTTCCTAATGCTTAGAACCCCTTAGTGGCTGCATTTGGTGGATGAGTTCTTCGTAGAACTGGCGAGAGCAACATAACCTTGAAATGGGAATGAGGAAGTTAGTTTATTCCATCACAGGGGATGTCATGTGATAGGGATTTACAGTGGTGGCCTGAGGATAGCTCATTTTTCTGAGCCTCAGTTTACAGATCCGTAAGATGAGAGGAGTTGTTGTGTAGGTGTTAGTCAAACATTTTTAGGAGTAGCACAACTTTACCTCATTGAATTCTATATTCATAACTACCCAGTAAGGCAATTTTCATTTCACACATGGGAAAGGTAATAATTAAATTAAATTAATTTGGTAACTTAATTAAGGTAACACAGTGAGTAGGTGGTGAGGTAGAAGGTCCAATTTTGAGTTTCTAACTTCAACTATTCCCCCTTTTCTAACACCATAAACTACTTTTCAATACAGTAGTCACTTAAAATGTGCATGACATGTTATCATTTTAAAAACCCCCTACAAAAAATAAATCCAAATATCTCAGCTTATCAAGTTAAAAATAACTTAGGTTAGTATTGTCATTACTTTGTATTGTAGGATTTGTCTTGATTTTCTATGCACTGAAGGTAGTGAAAGAGGAGAATTTTTGTGTGTTTGTGTGTGTAAGTCTTAAGATAACAAAGATAAATTGATAATCTTCAAACTCATAAAGGGTGCCAACTGCAAACTTCTTGTTCTTCATCTGTATTATACTTTTAAAGTTTACATTCAAGTTAACATGAACACTTACCCTAACAGAAAATCTCCTGGTTGCAACACTGTCACATATGATTTGATAACCAAACAACGCCAGGGCTGATGTGTTCTATTAGCCAACACTACCCTGACACATAAGCTGCACATGTGGAAAAGTGTGAGCATCTGAGAGGAACTGGCTGCAAATATCCATTCTTAACAGTGTCCACGAGCTTCAAAGAGTACGTCAAGCAACCTATCAATGATCTAGCACTTGAGGTATTAGTCATTTGCTAAATATTTTAATGGAAATGGTTATGAAAAATACACTTAAAAATCCTCACAGGGAAGGAAACAATTTGGTAATATTTGGCTTGTCATACCAGAGAGGTTTTCTGGCACATAACATGCATCACGACAATGTATATCAATGTCAAAAACCACCTTGCTTTAATAAGCATCTTAAATCTTACATAGCAGCAGGTTTAGACTATTTCCAGCAAAGATGTTACACATCTCTTGATAAAAATGTCTTTCCTATATGCTTGTTAGAATTTTTAGTTCTTTGATAATCATATGTATTATTTGTTTAGCTGTTTTCTTTAACTATATATTATTTTTAATGTTATAAATGTTATAGTTCCTAATGGATATGGAAAAGTAAATCAAACACGCAGTATTTGTCATAAAGAGGTCACTAAGTAACTTCTACTGCTGTCAAGAAAAATAACACTGCCAAGCTCACAGAAGTTCCTTTATGTCCCCTCAGATCATGCCCCTCCCTCCCTTCCCCCTGTCCCTTGTTTTCTAAGATAACCACTGTCCTGAACTCTGACAGTTTCATTTTGCTAGTTGTTTTGAGCTGCAGTGCAGGCATTATTTCATTATTTTGTGTCTGGTTTCTTTTGTTCAACATCATCTGTAAGATTTACCCTTGTGGTTGAATGTGGATATATTTTGTATTTTTTTATTCCTATAATAGCCTTTCATTGTACAATCCAGATAATTTTTATATCTACATTACTGTTGATCAATAGTGGGAGTGTTTGGACTTTGGGGCTGTTACAACAAATGCTATTAGACTACTACTTCCCACCAAGATAAACTAGGAGGATGGGATAAATCATTCCATCCGAGAGAACGATAATACCAGCAAAACTCGACAAGATATGTAATGACTGTTTTCAAGACACAGGAAATCGAACATTGAAAGCTGGTGGTTTCTGGGAGACAGGAAATAAATCAGGTGGCCAAGTGACTACTGTAGATTACAGGTTTGAGAGGCTGCAGTCCGTGGCAGAGAGAGGAAGATCCCAGGTAGATATTCTGAGCTTGCAAAGAGGAGTTCCAGAGAGGAAAGTCCCATAGATACAGATTTGGGAACTCTTCAGGGGGCCCCTTGTGCATTCCAGAGAATATTGATCAACATATGCCTCTGAAGAAACATGTACCTCCCCAGTCAGGCAGAGCTCCTTGAGCATATTAGAGGCAACGATACCTGGTACTCCTGAAGGGCTGGGAATATTGTCTGCCTCTTCTGGTCCAACTGGAGAATCTGACCCTTTATTGGGTGGATAATTTAGAAGGTCTTGACTCAGTACCAAGGAATAGTTTGGCCTAAACACAACATGGATTTTGTATAATCTAATAAACCTTAGGAGCAGAACCACACACACGATTTGAGGGGCTCACTGCAAAATGGAAAAGGCATTATGTCAGTTCTACCCAGACTTGCAAGCTGCTAAGAGTAGAATAGTAAATTGAGGTGCTGTCCGAGTCCTGGGTGACTGACCTGGTCACATGCCATGAAGCACCTCCACTTAAAAGTACGATTACAAAACATCAAGTGTTTCCAAGTAAATGAGGGTCATTCGAGCAAGTTGTCTGCTTTCCTTTCTTTCTTTCTTATGGGTTTTGTACTGTGTATGTTTGATTATATCTTATTAACATTCGGACTTTTTGTGTGGAAAAACTATAGAAATAATTTGTAGCCTAGAATAATGATCTCTTACTCAAGGGAGGACTTTTTTTTCCTGGAAATATCTTGGAAAACTAATATTTACTTTTTTCTATTTTCTAAGATTGAATTAATTTCAAATTGGGTGCAGTTATAGCAAGAACCATTCAACATTCCTCTTAATGTGTACATTTTAATGGTTGAAAAGTTCAAGTTTAAAACTCCAGCAGATCCAAAGTCTGGATGAGCACTCTTTTGGTTTGCAAATGGTTGTCTGCTCCTTGTATCCTGATATGTCACAGAGAAGGAGCCAGATCTCTGGACTTTTCCCATAAAGACACTAATTCTGTACATGAGGTGTCCATACTCCTGACATTGTTATTCCCCAAAGGTTTTGCTTTGAAATACTAACTCATTAAGGGTTACATTTCAACGTATGAATTTTGGGGGCACACAAACATTGAGTTTGTGTATTACTGACTTTCCTTAGCATGGATAAAATATCTGACCCCCACAACTTAATGGAGAAGAGGTGTATTTGGCTCAGCACTTCACTGGGTTTAGTCCATGGTTGGCTGGCTCCAAGATGAAAATGATGTGGCACAAGGGCCTAGTTAAAGAAAGCTGATCAGCTCAGGTGAAGCCAGGAAACAGTAGAGCCTAAAACAGAAATACAATCACCAAAGTGTGTTCCCAGTGACTCACCTTCTCTGAGTAGCACCCACTTCCTCAGGGCACATTCAACTAGGAACACATCCGTGGAGTAATTCACGGGCAAGCATGGTGCCTCCCTAAGCCAGTCCTGTCACAAGCCCACCTCTGAACACATGAGAACTGTGGGGAGATATTTTAGGTTGAAACCACAGCAGCAGGGTCTTCCATGATGACTACACTGGCCAATTGTTTTCTGGTTACTGAGAGAAAATACCTGACACTCATAAAGGAAAGGAAGAGATGTTTATCTGGGCTCACGGTTTCAGAGATTTTTACTGCGTAGTCAGCTGGCCCCAAGGAGGACCATTATGGTGGAAGGATGTGGCAGAGCCAAATTGCCCATTTCATGGTGGTCAAGAAGCAGAGTCTTGAAGCACATCAGAGAGGAAGAGGCCAGGGGCAGACACAGTCCCCTAGGTCATGCCTCCATGACCCACCACAGCACACTCAGAAGTATCCTTTTCTAACCTCTTAAACATCTCCCAAGCCAACTAAACTGGACACTGGCCAGCACAGTGACATTTTATTTAAGTTTTTATTTTTAAACTTACTGACTGCATAATATAAATTCTGCCCTAGTATGGAGATGGGTTGAAGACTCAATGGATTCTCACTGATATGTTTCAAAATTCAAGTATCTGTACCTTTTAGTCAGTTAGAGTTACTATACAAATACCATAGACCATCAGCTAAAACAGTATATACTTATTTCTCAAAGTACTGGAAGCGTTGGAAGTCTGAGATCAGGATAACAGCACGATTGATTTTTGAAGAGGCCTCTCTTGCTGGTGTGGAGGTGCCTTCACTGGACAGGAAGGGAGAAAGGGAGGGCTGCTATGCATCTCTTTTTAAAAAGGCGATAACCACATTCATAAAGCTTCCTTACTCATGAGCTCATCTTTTGAATGTTCCCATATCAGGAACTAGGGTATTGACCACATGAATTTTGGCAGGGTATAACTTAGTTGATAGCATTCAGTATGCAACTAGTTAAATATGTATATTCTTGTGTCCATATGTGTCCTGAGATCAGAAAAATAGCTGCTTTAGAAGCATCTCCTAGTACCTTTTAATGCATCTTCTATACTGGGCTGGTCTGCTGGCTAAAAATGCTAATAACCTGGCAAGGCATTAGATCCTTACACTGTATTTGAATGTTTCTAATGATGGCATTGCTAAATCTCTGGGACCTATGGTTTTACCATCAACTATGACAGGAAATCCAATGTGAAATTTTCTTAAAATTGAGAATGAATATTTGTCATTTGTAAATGTAAACACATGCATATATAGTTGAGCTATTTCCTGCTTACTTTAAAACATGTATAGCATGTCATTACATGAAAAATAATTTCACTGACATTAGCTTATAAGATATTATTTACTATAATTTACTGAATATGTCAACCTTATCTATACAAAGTATGTGAAATCTTAAAATTTTAAAAAAATTCTGTACTGGGGCTGGGGATTTAGCTCAGCGGCAAAGCGCCTGCCTGGCAAGTGCAACGTCGTGAGTTAGGTTCCTGGTACCGGAGAAAAACCAAAAAAAAAAAAAAAAAAA